ACGCTAGCGAGTATGTGGCAGATCGTATGTCAACATGGTTGGTTTCGAGGGAAGCGGACAGCTGTGCTGTCTTGCTCGTGGTCCACATTTTTGAGTTGTGGAATCCCCTCCTCGATTCCTCCGCCCTGCCAGAAGGTAACGAGAAGTACTCTACGGCGGGGCGGTACAGGACTGAGCACGCATTCATACATGTACATAGCAGCTTATGCACAACGGCTCGCGACAGCAGCACCGAACACCCTTGCACTACTTGACCGAAACCCTCATAATCACCGCACACGACGACACAAGCACCACAGCGGGTGAAGAACCCGGTACACGCTGCACGCTGTACATACGCCGCTACCGCTTGCTCTTCTTCATGCTCCGCCGCGCCTTCTTCTCCGCGCCCTTGCCCTCCGCCTGCGCGCCCTCGTCCGCCTTCCGCTTCGTGCCGGCGGCGGCGGTCTTGACCGACACGAGCGTTGACTTGCCCGCGCCGCCCTCCGTGGCGATCTTCGCGACCTGCGCCTCCGCCGCGCTCCAGTCCGCCGCCGGGTCGTTAATCGCATACCTGTCGCACGCGCCGCACGCCGTCAGCCCCCGTCTCTCTGCACTTCGTTCACCCGCACCCAGATGCGAAGAGAGCAACAAAATAAGACAAAAAACTAAAGGAGGCGCATTCCGAATATCGCCCAGATCCAGAAACCGCGCGGGACCGAGACCACCCACTATAACCAAACGTCGTGGGCGCGGGATTCGGACGGTACGCGAGGCGCGCCCGCCGCCAAGCCCAACGCGCCCCAGACACCCCGGACGCGCAGAACGCGGGGCCCCGCACGGGAAGCAAGGGACAGCAGCATCAGAAGCCGTGCCAAGCCTTGCAGGCCTCGAGCCAGCCGCGGGCGCAAACAAACAAACGGAAAAGAAGAAGGACGCGAAGAGCCGACGCACCCGGGATTCCCAAAGCCAAGAGAAGGTCCCGGCGGAGCGGAGCGGAGGCACACGATGATGCGCGCCGAGGGACGGACGGACGGACGTTCGGGGTACGCGGTGCGGGGGTGCGGGGTGCGGGGGTATGGTATGAGGGCACAAGGGGGAGAAGGACACTCACTTGCTGAGATCGAGCGCGTCGATCATCGCGCGCTGCTTCTCGCGCAAGGCACGCGCAGCCTCGTCGCCCGCCTGCTCGAGCTCGTCCTCGAGGCTCGTCTCGAGCGGCTTCCAGTCGGCCTTGCGGCCCTCCGCGTCGGTGCGCGCGACGTTGCTCGCGGCGTTCGCGTCTGGGATCTGCGCGCTGATGGCTGCCTTCTGCACGTCGAGCAGGCGCTTGCTGATTTTCTTGACCACCTTCACGAACAGCGCGAGTGCTTGCGATACCGGGAGCTGCAGTTCGCTCTGTGTGACAGCACGAGCTTGTCAGCTACTTGATTCTAGAGGATAGTCGCAGACACTCTACCTCGATCTCCTCAATCGTTTTGCGCTGCATTCCAAGTGCAAGAAGGATGGAGCTCTGCACAGCGCTGAGGCGAACCTCTGGCCCAAGGCGCTTCTCAAAGTACAACTGGCCGACAGTAGGCAAGAGATCCATGATGACATGGTAGTCGAGCTGGTTGTTCGCGTACGAGTCGAGCCGCTTTAGGTCAAATGGCGACATCAAGAACGACAACTCAGTGGAGCCAATTTCTAATAATCGGGATCGTCAATCGTGTCCAATGCTGACGATAGCCGAAAACTGAGACTGACCTCTCGACGGGTCTTCGTCGAGCTTCTTGACACCAGCGTTGGCGGCCTCGAGTACGCTCAGCGCCGTCACGCTGCCGAACTCGCGGAACTTGAACGACAGGAGGGACAGGAACCGTCTCCGGAAGTCTGCATACGCGGTATGAGTATCGGCCCGCTTCGCGCTAGACCATGGTCAGACGCACCCTTTGCAAACTCGCCAAGCCACTCGAGCTCGCCCTCCGTCGAGGAGTTTAGCCCGCGGACCATGACGCACGTATGCTCGCCCGTGAGCTCGCTCTGCGTCTGTCGGAGGTAGAGTGGGATGTAGCCCGCCCGTTTCCAGAATCTGAGCGCGGCCTCCGGTTAGTATTGGACCCGTCATGGTTAACGAAGAAGGCACTTAGCCTGAGAACATACCGGAGAAGGGGTGGAGTGAGACCGTAGGAAACACCCAGGTAGTCAAGCGTCTCCGGTTTCCGCTCCGTGAGGCGCTGCAGCAGCGGGGGCATTGCGTTCGCAGAGCGGACTTTGGGCTCGTCCGTGAGCAAGTCGGTCGACTGCGGTGCGGCGGTAAGCATCACGACAACTGGGCAGACTCAAGGCTACGTACCTCGTCAAAGTTCGCAGGGTCGGGGTACGACTGCTCGACCTGCGGCGCCTCGTCGACGTTGAAGTACTCGCCGCTGTAGTACGCGTTCAGCGCCTGCAGCGCCCGCGCACCATAGCCCATGTTCGCGTAGTCTGGGTGCGTCGCGATGCGCACGATGCGCGCCCCAGACAAGAGCGCGAACTTGCTCTCCTGGAACTGCTGCGAGATCAGCCAGGGAATCATGTCGCCACCAGCGCGGAAGCCACGACTGAGACCGTCCATGATCGCCTGCTTGCTGATGTTACCCTCGAGCGCGACCTGGAGCACGACGAGCGGCTCCGGCAGGTGCGTCTCGTCGTCCTTGATAGGCGGTAGGAGCACGAACAGATGATGTGCCGGTGCGTCCGAGAGCAGCTGCAAGTCGTTTGGCTGGTTCTTGTAGTGACTCGCGACATACAGGGCCATCATCCGTTGCAAGAACACCTCCGACGCCGGGTGGTAGCTGAAAAGCGTGTCTCGGCTCACGTAGAACAGCTCACATTTGCTCGGGTGTGGCGTGCTCATATGCGCCGAGCGAGGAAGCACCGTTGCGTCCAGGCAGAGCAGGCTGTTCAGCCACTTCTCGACTTTGTCGCCCGCGGCGTACCGGATGGGCGTCTCAAGCTTGATCTCGCGCAGCGTCCGCGCTTTAGGTGGTGCTTTGGCAAGCGCCTTTTTGGAGGAAGAGGAAGTCGTCGCAGCGTCCTCACTGGGTGCAGCATCTTTGGTGAGTGAAGGCCGTGTGCTCTCACGTAGCTGTTGGATGAGCTTGAGTGATAGAGAGCGACCCGTGCCCTCATATCCATTGATGGTGGAGGCCATGAAGATGAGATAAGGACCCATGAGGTTGCGCACAAGAGGGAGAGGGATGGCTGCGGCCTCATCGATGATCAGTAACTCGGCTTGTCCGAGGACGTGAGCGTCTTGGGGTTGAATGTACTACATGGAGACAGCTATAAACTCCGCGTACGGTACCGGGGCTATGGTGTAAAACATACCTGAATGGTTTGCCTGTGGTTGCGGAACACGTTCACGCGAACAATCGCCTTGTTGAAGTCTGGATTCGTGCTCTGCACGATATCGTAGTCGAGATGCTCCTCATAGCCCAGAACGTCCATACCCTTGAATATGAAGTCGAACAGGGTCTTCAAGTTCTCAGGACTAGGACTCGTGACGAAGATGTTCGAGTACCCATGAGCCAACGCAGCAGCAATAGCCAGACCAAGAGCAGCGGACTTTCCGCGACCTCGAGCAGCAGTGAGCGTCACAGTCGATGAGAGCGTCTTCTCTGCAATAGCGTCCACGAATGTCAAGATAGCCTGAGCTTGGTCAATGGTCTTAGCGAGCTTGACCAGCTCTCCAATCGGCTTTGTGTCCGCGAGGCTGTCTTTCAGGTCCTTGAGCTCGGACTCCTCCTTGCTCTTCCCTCGGTCCTCCTCTATAGGCTTGATGTCCTTGCCTCGAGATATAGGCAGCACGTTCAGCTCGTCGTCAAGCACCAAGCAGTCTTCGCAGGACCCGAGGGAGAGAATGAAACGTTCGTTGAACCGTGCGACGACGGAATCATGTGCTGACGTTCGGTAACGAGCGTGCACATCCTGTAATGGCGAGGTGAGGGCTTCGGCGAGTCTAGAGTCTGGGAAACGTACCATAGTCATCGTGTACAACTGCCGCAGCGACTTCATGGTCTTCAGCATGATGACGACCAAACCTCCGCCCTCCACTGTTTCTATTGTCCGGGCTAGGAGGTTGGGCGTGATAGCTTCAAAGTCTTGCAGCACGCACATGCCGAACGTCTGGCCAAGAATTTTGTGGGACTCCTTGTAGTAGCTACGCGCACAATTGAGCATAAACTAATGTGGATGAGGGCTCATAAGGAGGCACTCACGTATAACGGATGTCGGTGACAGTAATGAAAATCTCAAAGGGATCCTGCTCATTCGGCTCACGGATGCCTCGCTTGATCTCCCTCTTGATTTTCGCTTCGCGTTTCTTTCGATGCCTAGTAGCGGCTCGCTTCAGGCGTTTTGCGCACAATATGGGGACGTTGTACGCACGTCGTAAAGCCTAGATCCTTTTTGTAGCACCATAGTACTGACGGACGCGCGGAGACCCGTGCTTGCGAGAGTAGGAAGTGCAGGTTCACGATCTACTGTGGAATGAGCATGCATTTATCCGCACCCGACTTCAGACGCACCTGGTCTTTGCCTCTATCGCCCACAAGCACTATGAACGAGCGGTGGTTCTTCTTGACATTATTGTTGATTAGGATGGGAATGCGGGGGTCGAGTTGTTTGCGCATCGGAGGAGGTCGTCAGAGGAAAGCCACGCCAGGTCGTCAATAAAGATAAATGAAAGCAGCAAGCAGGCGGGCAGAGCGTGAACAGAACGACGGAGAGGGAGAGAAGGGCCTCAGCTCGGCCTGAAGCTGCTGCAATTGCCACAGTCCCGAGAGGACGTAAGCGCCCAGAAAGTTTCGACCGTGCCACCACGTGGCTCTATTCACAAGTCTGTCATTCAGCTTGCTCTAAGTCAGGTAGCTGTTGCGTGAGACTACATACTGCAGTGGGATAAGCAGCTGCACAGCTTGGCTAGGTACTGTATAATGGTGCAGTAGTTCCCAGTTGATAGCTTGCGCATATGAAGCGGGGAAATAGGTAAAAAAGGAAGCCCACGGCGGGGGTCGAACCCGCAGCCTTGAGATCTCGTCGCCTGGTGTTAATCCAAGGCTTAAAAGTCTCACGCTCTATCCGATTGAGCTACGCGGGCGTTGCGAAATGTAAACTGCTTGCCTATATATACGTTGCAATTGCTCCGAATTGCATCGGGAAAATGAACGACAACGTCATCGAATGACGCCGAATGAGGAACGAGGGGAGAACCGAATCGCCGATCCCGTCCGAGACCCAGCGCCATTCCCGCGCCCTCCTCGTCTCCTCCTCTCGACGCTTCCTCCTCCTCTGCTCCTACCCTCATCATCCGTCTCCTTCATTGTTTGACGATGGCCTCCCGTGCGTTCTCCCGCCGCGTTCTCGCCCAGTCCCTACGCGCCCCTGCAGCCGCCCGCGCGGCCGCTCGTCCCGCGGGCAGGCGGTTTGCCAGCTCAAGCGTTGAGCACGGCGCGAAACAGAGCAGCGACACTCCCTGGATTGTATGTCGTACCAACATGAACATAGGAGATTCACGCGAGCTGAACTCACTGCTTGGGGATATAGATCGGCTCTGCACTCGTGTTCGGCCCTGCGGTACGCGTCTGCACGCTATGACGTCGCACGGACATTGCTCACTGACTCGTACCAATCAACGTCGCGTGCAGGCTGTGTATATCCTTACTTCCTCTGGCAAAGAAAAGGGCAAGCACAGTGCCGACGCTCACCATGCCAAGGCCGCAAAGGCCCATGCACCTTCTGAGGAGTCGCTCAAGAAGGATGAGGCTCCCCAGGAGGAGGCTCCTGCCCCCGCACAGGTCCGTATTTGTTCCTCAGTCGCATGGGGAGTTGCAACTGAACGCTACTACGTTGCCTAGGATGAGTCTGCAAAGGATGAGCAGCCGGTGGAGCAGGCCGTCAGTAGTCTCGCCTCGGTCTGGGCCTCTGCAAGTGTCGCGTGCTGATGTGTGCATCTGTCGTGACAGGACGATGGCAAGCTCCACGGCTCTTCCGGCCTGACCGACTCCGAGGGCACCACCATATCTGCGGAGGAGGCCAATGCGTCCATGAAGCAGGCGTTTGTGCGTACCCTCTCATTCGTTCCCTCTGTCGCCGCCTGCTCACGGTGCTGGTATGCGAGCAGAAGTCCAACATCCCTGAGGATGCTCAGCGCGCGGAGGAAAAAGACGATCAGTTCGCCGATGGCGCGCCTGGCCAGACCTCCGAGGCGGAGACGAAGCCCGACCAGAAGGAGAAGCCTGGTCGCTCGCATACTGGTACCCTCCAGAGTGAGGACGACAGCGGCCCTACTGACCTTGGCGATGCCCGCGAAAAGGCAACCGTAAGCGTCTGCGGCAATTTACCACGAAGCAGTTTGCTCACAGACACCAACTACAGTCGAAGGAGGCGCCCAAAGAGGCGTCGCAGGACTAAGTCTGAACATTGCTCAACGGACTTCATGCATGTATCTAACTGTCTATTATTATGGACGGTGGAATTTGCTTTGTTTGCTCGAACTGCACCATTTACGCTGTAGTCCCCGTACTTGGCCGTCGCCGAACTGATATGTTGTATACGCGCTGGAACTCGTCCTACGAAACTCGCGTGTGGGGTAAAGAGCCTTTAAGAATGTTCGTACATGTGCAAGAAAAAGGTTCAATGCGCCTACCCTTTCGACGAGTTTTCGGCGGGTCAAAGCACGGGTATTCCCGTCCCTTGCTGGTCAGTCGTCGACTCGGGTTGAAATGTTCTGTAGCGGCTGTAGGTACATTGAGTGTTCCTTCTCCGCAGCCTGGTACGCGCGTACTAGGGCATGCTCATCGTACCCCGCTGGTTGATGCAACAACACGCCACGCGGTGCAACGCGTTGATCATTGTGACCACGTGACCGCGCTAGGCGAGGAGGGTGGCTAAATCTCGCCTATATATCCGCTCGCGAGCGGCGATTCGTTTGTTTCTCCTGCACACTACCACCACCATCAGCTTTGTTCCTGGACAGGGCCTCGGAATGTCTCAGCCTCCTCTCAAGAAGCCTAGGTTATCCTCCGACGGCCCGGCAGCGTCGGGGGACTCTGGCGCACATAATCATCCCCCGACCGCGCTCGTTCCTCGCGATTCGCCAGTCGTGGGGGTGCCGAGCGAGGCCGCTACTCCGGATGAATCGCAGAAGGAGTGCAACGCAGTGAGTGAGAAGACACTGTGCAACTTACTCTTTGACATTCCGTTAGACATATGGTACGAAGTAAGTTGCCAGCTAGTTCGAGCAAGACGGTGTGAATCTATCTCGTGAAATACTCATATTGTAACTGGTAGATCTGTACATGGCTGACCCCCGAGGATCTCCTGCACCTTGTACGGACGTGCAAGCTTCTTCGGAAGGATCTTCTGACCCGGAAGAAGCAATCGCTGTGGGCCCGGGCCCGGGGAAACATTGAGGGTCTCCCCGACCGCCCGCCCTCCATGAGCGAACCTGCTTTCGCGCACTTCTTGTTCTCTACGGATTGTGCAGTGAGTCCGCCGGTGTATATAGTACAATGCCAATGCTTACAGTCCCGGCGGACCAGTATTGCGGGGCTCCCTACTCTTGGAAGCTCATGAAGGGACACTTGCTGCGCTCATGCAAGGACTGTTTTCTGGAACAGTGGGTCTCCTGTAGTTTCTGCTTGCTGTAGTGGTCACGCTCATCGGTTTTCACAGCACCTATGAGTACTCTACGGTCTACTGGGAACATACAATGCTCAAACCTATCACGAACTACTGTGACGGGCATTGGTTCGAAGACTGCGTACCGATACAAGATTGCGATACGTTCGTGGTCTGCCTTATCCCCTTGCTATTGTGTGCTGACTATGCAGGTTTCTCTTTCGCAGACGGCAGCCATGTGAATGCAAGTTGAACCGAATCCTCAAGTGCGACGTCGAGGAGCTACAGAACCAGGTGAAGGTGTTTGCTGCCGCCGGGCATATCACGGGGACGTGCGAGGACGAGGACAAAGACGAGGCGACCGTCCATGCCTTCGTAGATGAGCTAAGGGACAACCTGACAGAACGCATAGAGGTGAGCAATCCCAGTTGTGTTTCTGAATCAAGCGAGTGGTGTGAATAATCGGTATACGCACGATCTTCGAACACAGGAAACCAACGATATATTGAACTGGGTCTCAAAGCGAGACAGACAGATCCGTTCCCAGCACGCGCGAGCACGGCAGGAACGCTTTCGAACGTGAGTACTCCGGATGAGCGAACTGGTCCAACGTACAAGGCTTGCGGCTAACACGACGGCGGTGTTTATAGGATTTGTGCGCGCTTGGAAGATCTTGGGTGGCGAGATGAGCTCGCCTTCCTCGATATCCCGGCCAGGCGCGCTATGGCAGGCCTTCCGGAGGTGAATTATTACTCTATGGAGCTGACTGAGAATGGTGAGACACCGCTGAACGATTGATACTGTTTCCGGATCAATGTTGAGGTTTCTATGCACTGTAGCTTGGCAAGGCATGCTGCCTGCACTGACACAATTCCTGGAAGGCGTACGCAAGAGGCTCAAAGAGAAGCGATACCGGGAGACTCTCCGTGCCCGTATGGCGACGCTCGACAAGGCGATTGTGGCTCACTATGTGCCAACACTCCCGCGCACAGCTCGCATGGACTGTCGCCCCCATCCCATAGACTTCGCGCTCGAACCCAAATGCCGCGCGATCATAGACGCGCCTGTCTGGGAGACTGTCACGGTCGAGCAATTCGCACCGCTCATCCCCGGGCTGGCATCTAAATGGGAAGCAGACCGCAGACAAGCGTTGCTCGACTACATCTTGCCACACTTGGGCGAGGTCGCTACGGGCGTCGATCCTTTACAGCTTGCTATATCCTGCTTCATGGCTGACTGTCCCTGGTACTGGATAGAAACATGGGCGGAAAATGAACCCATGCGATACCCCGACATTCTGGCTCTCGATCGGGGGTGCGACAAGGGCCGTGCTCTCCGTGCAAAGCGTGCTCCGTGCACGAGGCCTGAGGACGAGGACGACTATACCTATGCGGTGAAGACGCTACACTGGAACGATCCTGAGCCGCTCGAATCACGCATCCACAGGAATGAATATCAAGTCCCACACAGCCTTGTCAACCTCGTGGCGCCGGATCTCGCGAAACTGCTGGTTGACTCATTCCGCTCGATCGTCTCTGCGCTCGGATTCGACCCCGCCCGCGCAACGTTCGACGACATGCAGCAATGCGGGAAGTGGCTGCGGTGCATGACGTGCGAGCGAGAATATGTGGCAGGGGTGGAGGTCACTGCGTGGACATGGCTTGAAGCTGTAAGTGCTCATCGTCTGCGAGTCCGCGCCCAGGTCACACTCCCGATCCTCACTCTTTCTCCATCTTCCGCAGGCGCGCCACGACAGAGCAGTTCACTCTTGCGTAACCGAAGCGCTGGATCGGCTTGAGGACGAGTCCACCGGCACGTTCATAGAATTCTGTATAACAGTGCCCGACGCAAAAACTCCTGCCCAGTGGCAGGTCGTTGACGAGGAAGATATGGTTCGGATGCGCGCTATGCTCAACGAGGACGAGGAAATTGCAGTGGACAACCACAACCAATCTCCGTTCTTGTCGTGCTCGCTGTGCCGAGACTTCGACGCGAGGGAGCGCAAGGATCGACCTGACATGACCAAGCATGTGCGAGAAGTGTGAGCCGCACCTTTATACATGTGCTGTCTCGGACGTGCGGCGTCGACGTACAAGCAGACCAGACTAACGAAACCTCACAGGCACGGCATAGAATGCGAAGGCTACAAAGAGGCACTGAAGAGCGGTGTTGTGTACTATCATCCATCTCAGCGTCACTGGCAGAGGGGGAGTGGGAAGGTGACCGTGCGGCGGTGATCGATGATCCCCGGGGTGGTGCATGTAGTAGCATAAGCTCGGTAGGGCAGAAGGACGCGCCCAACACTACTTCATGGACTTTGCCGTGGCTACCTGGCTTCCGTCATGTGTGATGTTATATCGGAATGAAACCCTACTGCTGTCCGGCTTTCATTGAGTGAACGTCTCAACAACCCCCCCAAGCGGTAAACAACTCTCGGAGCGCGCGAGGCGGTTACCACACGAAGGCAAGCACCAAGTC